TCTCTTAATGTCAATATACTGATTTGTAAGATGACTTTCACCTCTTTTGATGCGCCTATAAATTTCTTTTTTCTGTCCTAAAAGATATTTGAGCCTATTTTTCATCCATTTTGGGTCATTTCTTTTCGATGGGATAAATGTCCTTTGGGCAGCATGTATTGTGTTAAGAAAGCTGTCATACTGATAGCACTCTTTGTTACCCCAGTCCCCAGATGACAAGTGTTCTCTAAGCCCATTTAATCTGCTAAGTGAAAATCTGGAACCATTACCGAATTATCCCTACTATCATACTTCCATTCAGTGCTAAAGGTAATTGATTTGTGATTGCATGTGCCGAGTTCCTCTGTAATTTCTAAATTATTAACAAGGGTTTCCTTGAAATTAAGACACATGTGCAACATCTGGGTATCTTTATTGTAGACGTTTCGCCATCCAGTGGCTTTATCAATACAAATTCTAGGACATAACTTGAAGACAGTAGAACTATGTACAGAAGATGAGGTAATCAGTCCCTCAACCTAGGAGTAGGTGCGAAGAGCACCATAGTCATGGAGATTCTGAAGCAGAAGAAAGGAGCCTGGCGCTTATATAGTAACGTCAGGTGTGGCAGACGAGGGCATAGACGAGGGCAGCAAACACCTGCACCTCACCACTGTGAGTGTCTGTGGTGAACCTAGGCATATGTTTATGATTAGAATGCACTGTGCCACACACTTCCGTCATGTTAACTCGCAAGAAATTACTGAGAAAGAGGCTTGTGTGTCAGTTATCAGTATATAATGTATGCCCCTTACCAAGATATGGTGCCTTTGTTGTTCTTGCTATGTCACCTGAGATACCCAAAATCATCCTGGTATCTTTCAATGTTTTACTTTCTGTTTATACTGTTTTGTCCAATACCAGGCCACTGTCACAGTCACAGAGTACAAACAGTTTTATACCAAAGTGTTTCCTCTTGCTAGGTATATACTGCTTGAACAACAATCTATCTGTCTTTTAAACAAAATCAAAGACTGGTCAGTTACAATATTTTTGAATGGATAAAAGTACATGTTGAACTTATGTTTCAGATGCATAAAAACATTTCTAATCTTGTATAACCTCTCATTTCTGTTGTGCCTTGTTGTGTCAGAGAAGTGCAACATACATAACAGTAAGATAAATCTGTTCGCTGGGATGATTTCACTGAAGTCTGGGGTAGAAATTAGCCAATCTATGATTTTATATTATGCTTTTAGACATTAGGCAAAAATATTATTGCTGCAAAAAACAAATATATTTCATCCTCAGTTGTCTCTTTCCACCGGTGTAGTCTTGACTGTGATGATATGATTCTATTTGCCATGGTGTGCCCAGAATACTTTCCCTGGCAATATTTTCGATCAAGGTCTGGTCAAATAATAGTTCAAAGAATTCCAGTTCATTTGCAGTGTTTCCAAGGGAACAAGCTGGCAGGATTCCATGTTGAGTGTCATCAAACTGATGGGGATTGGGAAAAAAATTGGGATTGTGCTGCCAATCCCAGATGCAGTTTGCCGGTGGATACTGCACACCATAAGCTGGTTGTGGTTGTAGTTTTGGTTGTGATGTGGGGGTGGATGATGCTCCGCTTTATCCTGGATCTGATGAGTCAGCCGTGTGGGTCCCAACCTGGGTTGTTGTGTCATGCTGCATAACTGTGGCATCACCACCACCTCTATCACCACTATCACCACCATTACCACCACCTACTGATGCCTGTGGTCTATCCATACACAATTTGTGATTAATCTTGAAGATCTTTACAGATAAATATTTAACCCTTTTGGGGGTTGCCAGGTCCTCTCAGAGACTTGTTCTCACGGTCGCCAAAATTGCAAAATAAAAATAAATTTTTTTTTCTTATGAAAAGATAGAGAATCTTTTCCCGATCATAATGACACCAAAAGTATGAAGTTTGATGAAAAACTTAGGGAATTATGCTCTCGTGAAGTTAGCGGTCTCGACAATGTTTACGCATTGGCGATTTTGCCCAATTTGAGCCCAATTTTCGGCCAATTCCGGTGTACTAGTCGACAAAAATCATAACTATTTCTCTAGAACTCCATTTTTTCTATTGAATGAGCACAAGAAACCACCCATTTACCGATTTCAACTATCCAGTAAGTGGTCGGAATTTAGCAATTTTGCTAATTTCACACAAATTTAAAAAGATGCCAATTTCCGAATAGGGTCCAGAATTAACAAGAAAGACATTCCTGGCACTAAAATAACAAGTTCTCTGTTTGTTAGTCACATCCCCAGGCCCCTCTTTTATTTCTTTGGCTTTCAACTTTGAATTTTTATTCTTACAAAAAATAGAAGCTTTACTGTTATGCAGACTACTGAATTAGTGTAGAAATGATATAAATAATATCAGCGCACTTGTGAAAGAATATTATACTCACCAGTTGATGTGTATCTCAATTTCTGTAATATGTCTTCCATTCTATAAAATGAGACCAAGAAAACTAGAATGCAACGATAAATACCATACGAAAATACAGTGCAAAATCGCTGTATTAATCTAAAAACACGGTCAAAGTTTTTTTTTTCTCATTACGCAGTGTGCTGCAGGATTTTTTTTTGTACTGCGCACACTGACCACATAGATCCATTCTTTCATATGAAGGCCTACCAGCTTTCTCTCACTAGATTTGACTGTGCTAGAATTTATGCGTACTAGTACGTCAAAAACCCTGTGTCGTAAGCTGTACTAGTACGTCCGAAACCCCAAAAGGGTTAAAAGGGACAATTTTATTTAGTGAAACATGTGACAATAGATCAAAAATTATTTTAGTTCAGTATATTGTGTTTGTAATTGTGGAATATTGTAATATACTGACTCATGATTCTTTTGCAGAAATATTTTGTGGAAGACTACCAGGTTGTGTCTTGCCAGACACTATATCTTCAGTACTTCAAGAAGCACCAGTGTAAGTGTCTTGAACAACAACTGATATTGCAGAAGTATTTTGTGGAAGACTACCAGGTTGTGTCTTGCCAGACACTATATCTTCAGTACTTCAAGAAAGGCAACATCTGTTATTCTTATGAATTTTTAACTAGCTAAGTATTACTAATTAAACAATTTTGCTTTTCATTTTGGAAATTCTATCTAAAAATGCATGGCAGTTAATTCTTTGAGGGTCCATTTTGTAGTTCTACAGGTTTTAAGCCAGGGTCCAAGCTGTAGTATTACGTCATGAGCTCAGCTCACTCAGGTAAACTGTGAGCAGTAAATTTGGGCCTAAATATGAGAGAATGCATCAACATGGTAAGTGTGCACCATATAAAACAAATCCTGCAGCACAAAGTAGATAATGAGAGAAAAAAAAAACTATTTTTGGATTAAAATAGCAAATTTTCAGTGTATTTTCATATGGTTTTTATGGCAGTATTCACTGTCTCTTGGTTTCATGTGACAGAATTGAATATGTATTACAGAAATGATTTTGTTAGGTTTTAGTACTGAAAAGAGCCTGAAATCAAGCTCAGAGTATCAAAAATATTCTATTTTTGCTGATGTTAGAGGGTAAATAAATTGCATCACGCGTCCAATACATGTCAGATGGTGGGTCAGTTGTGCATTCCTGAATGCACTGATATTATTTATACAATTATTACAATATTGCATAACAGTAATTTTTTTTTTTTTTTTTTTGTGTGAGCAAAAATTATCTTTGAATGAAAAATCAAAATGAAATTCATCTGTAATGCCTGGAAATGTAACTAATAAATAGTGAAAATGTTAGTTTAGTGCCAGGAATGCCTGCATTGTTTTTTCTGGACCCTGTTTTGAAATTACAATATTTTGAACTCTGTGTGAAATTGGCCAAATTACCAATTTCTGATCACCTTATTGGGTAGTTGAAATAGTTGATTTGGGCAATTTCTTGTGCTTAATAGATGAAATGGAACACATACTAGCAAAATAAATAAGAATTTGGTCTAATGGATAAATGTAACTGGCCAAAAACAAGACTCAAAGTTGGCAAAATTGCCAATGTGTAAATATTGCTTACACAGGAAAATTCATGGGAGCATAACTTCATAAATTCTTGATCAAATTTAATAAGAAAAAATTATATATTTTTTTTTTTTTAGAATCTTGGACTTTGTGGGGAACTTTCAAATTGGGTATCTGAACCCTCAAAGGGTTAATGAAAAAAAAAAAAAAAAGTTAGTAATTCCATAATTAAACATTTTCAGAAAAATTTGTTTAAACACAAGAGCAAATAATAATAAAAATGTTGAATATATCTGCAGTGTTCTAATATGTTTATTAATATTTTAACACAAAACAAAAATTATGATAGTGTTTTGACACACAATATAAACTTTATTAACACTCATAAGTAGGAAAAGTCTTGCCTAAATAAATCTTAACATGGGATTTTTTCATAAGGAAAACCATGTGTTCAGTGTCTAAAATAATTAAAAAAAAATCATGAAATAGACATTTGAGTGCACAAGGAAGATTAACTATACCACAGTTGTATGACTAAAATATTTCAAATGAAATCCCTTCATTTAAAAATTTGGAAAAAACATAAAGAACATAAACCATATCAATGTTCAGAGTACCTGAAATATTTTAGTGGAAAAAAAAATCTTGTGACACATATGAGAGTACATACAGGAGACAAACCTTATCAATGTTCAGAGTGTCTGAAATGTTTTAGTAATAAAAGAAATCTTGTGACACATATGAGAGTACATACAGGAGAGAAACCATTTCAATGTTCAGAGTGTCTGAAACGTTTTAGTCAAAAAAACAGTCTTGTGACACATATGAGAGTACATACAGGAGAGAAACCTTATCAATGTTCAGAGTGTCTGAAATGTTTTAGTCAAAAAGGTAGTCTTGTGACACATATGAGAGTACATACAGGAGAGAAACCATATCAGTGTTCAGAGTGTCTGAAATATTTTAGTAAAAAAAAAAGTCTTGTGATACATGTGAGAGTACATACAGGAGAGAAACCATATAAATGTTCAGAGTGTCTGAAATGTTTTAGTAATAAAAACAGTCTTGTGACACATATGAGAGTACATACAGGAGAGCAACCATATAAATGTTCAGAGTGTCTGAAATGTCTTAGTAATAAAAGCAGTCTTGTGACACAATGAGAATACATACAGGAGAGAAACCATTTCAATGTTCAGAGTGTCTGAAATGTTATAAGAAAAAAAACAGTCTTTTGACACATATGAGAGTACATACAGGAGAGAAACCATATCAGTGCTCAGAGTGTCTGAAATGTTTTACTGAAAAAAGCAGTCTTGTGATACATATAAGAGTACATACTGGAGATAAACCATATCAATGTTCAGAATGTCTGAAATGTTATAGTCAAAAAAACAGTCTTGTGTCACATATGAGAGTACATACTGGAGATAAACCATATCAATGTTCAGAGTGTCTGAAATGTTTTAGTAATAAAAGCAGTCTTGTGACACATATGAGAGTACATACAGGAGAGAAACCATTTCAATGTTCAGAGTGTCTGAAATGTTATAAGAAAAAAAACAGTCTTTTGACACATATGAGAGTACATACTGGAGATAAACCGTATCAATGTTCAGTGTGTCTGAAATGTTTTAGTATAAAAGGCAATCTTGTGATACATATGAGAGTACATACAGGAGAGAAACTATATCAGTGCTCAGAGTGTCTGAAATATTTTACTGAAAAAAGCCATCTTTTGACACATACGAGAGTACATACTGGAGATAAACCATATCAATGTTCAAACTGTCTGAAATGTTATAGTCACAAAAACAGTCTTGTGGCACATATGAGAGTACATACAGAAGAGAAACCATATCAGTGTTCAGTGTCTGAAATGTTTTATTGAAAAAAGCAAACTTGTGAGAGTATGAGAGTACATACAAGTGAAATCTGACCTGCAACACAACTGGTGGTACAAGAGAGAACATATCAAAGTGCTTAGTGTTCTCAAATGTTTTAGTGTAAAAGGTCATCTTGTGAGACATTCACAAGTACATTCAGGAGATAAAACATGTTAGTGTTAATTTTTCATGAATATTTTAGTTATAAACTCACAAGAATATATGAAAGGGATATACCATAGCAGTGTTGAGATTGCCTTTTTGAAGTCATTTGGCATCATTATAATATCAGAAAAGTTCAAGTTTACAAAATTCTGTTATATAAAAAATTCATTTAGGTCTTCAACTCTCAGTCATACTGGGTCATACTGGGACTTAAATAGCTCACTCATTTCCTTGCTGTCATCTGTGTAGGACCCATCTTGTTTAAGTAGGTGTTCAATACTGGATGTTGTTCTCAACATTGATTTGGCATAACAAAAGAAATATTTTGGGTTTCTTTCAATTTTATTTATGGCTTTTACTTCTTCCCTCATATCTTGACTCCTGTAAGATTCCTTTAGCTTAAATTCAATGTTTGCTATATCTCTGTCCAGTGTCTCTACACGTATTATAGATATGTTGGTCTCTTTTAACTGCTCTGTTATTCTTTGCCTTTGCCTGCAAATGGAGCACCTTTTTATAGTTTACATCTCCTTTTCCTTAAAGGAAATATAAAATGTAATATTTGTAAATGTTATGCTAAGAATATTATGAATTATAAATAGTGTTCTTGCAGACATTTGTGTTCATTTTTTATCAAATATTTATATAGGATTTTTTGCAAAAGTTTCAAGCATTTTCTTATTGTCACTTCTTTTTTCAAATATTTTTGATAGATTTAATTTTTAGCATTTACTGATCTATGTAGAATCTTAACATCTACAGATGAGGATATTTTTCCTATTATTTCAGTGTTAATTAAATTTTCAATCAATTTACTTGAGTTTCATTCATCCTATACAGTGGAACCTCAAAAATCGAAGTGCTCCCAACACGACCAATTATGTAAATGTATTTTTGTAAGTGCTTTTATAAGTGTATTTTTGAGGGTCTGAAATGGACTAATCTAATTTACATTATTCCTGATGGGAATAAATTCATTCGGTAAAGACACTCAAACAGCCTTCTGGAATGAAGAAAGTTCGATATTTGAGGTTCCACTGTACCTTTTAGTGGTTTCCAAATAAATCATGTGAGAATTATATTAAAAGATCTTAAAAATCGCCTGGGGATGTCCCAATCCCTCTCCGGTCTCCTGGGGAGTGGCTTGGGTATCTTTCAGGCGACGGGTGTATCTATGGAGGCTGCCTTTTGGATTCTGGGGGTGCTGGCCAAAGGAGGTATGCTTTGTGGCGGATATCCGGCCGCCCTCTCTTTTGTCCACCGAGGTAGCTCAGCAGATATGAGGTTGCTATCCCGGATTGCTGGTTTACTGGCATGATTGGTAGGGTATGGCATGGGTTCCATGCTGCATCTGCACTACTTGCAGTGCTGAGGTTCTGTTGGGCATGGATGGAGATTTCTGGCCCTCTCATTCCTCCCAGGAACTATCACTCCCCAGTTTCCCCATTTTTTATTCTTTTTTCTTTATTTTTCTTTTCTTTTCTTTTCTTTTTTTTCTTAAAAACAAAAACAAAGAAATAACCTAACCATGGAAGCCCTAGTCCATGAACCTGCTACCCCCGGGCCCCTTGATACCGCACCCCATTCTGACCCCGCCTCGTCTTTGGACCACTCTTCACACACTCCTAATGCCTCTGTACCTATTGCCGGTGCTGTTTCCTCACCCGCTTCAGGTATCGACTGACTCCTTCGATTTATCTGACCTCCTCTCTCTTTTGACTATGCTTCCAGCCTCTTCCTCTGTGGTGCGGCAATTTTCGAATTGCCTTCCCATTCCATGTCGGACCAACTCTGGTCCCACGCCTAAATGCAACGA